AATATGGTACATTATTCAGAAGGCAATGTTAAAATTTTACAAAGGAAATTAAAACCCATTCAAATATTGCCAAAATTAAATTTATTTCTATCTAAATAATAGCTGGGGGATAAAGGCATTGGTTTGTGAATTTGGTGACATCTGGGCTGGGTGGAATAATGGATAACTGCTTGGATTGAGGAATTTGGTAATGTCTGGGCTGGGTGGAGCAATTAATAGCTGCTGGAATTGAGGAATTTGGTGATGTCTTGGCCAGGTGGAGTAATGGATAGCTGCTTGGATTGAGGAATTCAGTGACATGTGGGCTGGGTGCAGCAATAGATAGCTGCTCGGATTTTGAGGATGTCTGGGCTGGGTGGAGCAATGGATAGGTACTCGGATTGAGGAATTCAGTGATGTGTTGGCCTGGTGGAGTAATGGATAGCTGCTTGAATTGAGGAATTGGAGAGTTGAGTTTGAGTTCCAGTGGAATACATTACATTCGCTTACATGCTAATACCCTTGGGAAAGGTATGAATTCTCTTCTTCTCCTTGGATGGCAACTGGTCTACTGCAGAAAGAAATGGCAACCTACTATGGGAAAAAATCTGCCTTTTCAGTCATGTATTGAAAGATACATGATTGCCTAAGAGTGTATCAAATATGGCACATAACTGGCTGACTAAAAATAAGAACTAGATGAGATATCCCCAGAGATGGGCAGTGGAATGAGAACAATCTACTCCTGTAAATTAAATAAAGAGTTCTGTTTAGAATTCCCTGTAAGTTGCCCAGATTGACATACAGCTGATGAAGGTCAAAGGGCATAGTGGCTGAAATAATGTGATAAAAACAACAAAGATGAACACAATAGTCAGCATGCAAATAATTAAATTTATTTGTAATGAGCAACAATCAAATTTACTATTTAGTGTTTTAAAAAGAACTTTACAATCTGTCACTTTCCTTCTTCCTCTCCCCCTTTCTTCTCTTCTCTCTTGCTCCCCGCCCCTGTCAGTCTAGTATATCAGACCAGGGAAATTGTCTCCATTTATTAAAAGCTTTTGGTCTGAAGAGATGACTATATAGAGGTATTCACAAAATAAATTATAACCAAAATGGATCTTTAAGGTTTTCTTCTTGGTTATATATATATATATACAGGTAAGATGAGAATGAATTTGTTATTAACATCTTATATAAATAACTTTTAGTCAACAGCTGCATGTTAATTTACCAAGTAATTCATTTAAATTATTTACTGTTTTCTTAAAGAAGGTATTTATTTATAAAAAAAAATTATGTAGGTAACTAAGAAAGCATATAATTTGTTTAATATTTTGCTAAATTACCACACCATCTCATTTTTTCTTAGGAAATGATATTGTCTAGTGTGTAAAATATGTACCCATTAATATCCGCTCCTGTTTAACATTTGAGCTGCCATTGACTGCCAATCTACAGGTGATGACCCATTTATTGAAAATAATTTCTTAATGTTTGCTTCTTTGCTTAGTTTAAATTCAATGTAGATCATATTCAATTGGTTGATCTGAATAAATCCTATAAACCTTATAAACCCCTCTTTTTTCATAAAAGAGGTCATATTTTTCTTTAAATCTAAATAAATCATTCACTCACCAGTAATTTATAATCACTTGATGAGTTGTATTTGATACACATTGAAACATGATTGTAATTGTGTAATGATTTTGACATGTTTTTGATGTAATATCCTAAAATATATATCTATAAAATTGAACTCATTACATTAAACTTATTTGCTTCAATAAGCCCAACTGCTGACTCAACATGAGACAGAAGCAAATCATTCTCGTACAACTACATTATCTGTTCACACTTGTGGATATTAAAGTAGATGTATTTGTTTATGGTCAATGGTCATACTTAATCAGTTTTATGTTAGTGATTAATACAATAACACTCAATTTAATACAAAGAAAATATTTGCTTGTTAATGAAACTGGTGATCAACAGAAAGGTTTTAAATGGCTATCAATAAAGCATGAACTCACAATCAATCAGTTGAAAATCTTAGAATAGTTACACACCTGTATGATTTTACTCATTGTTTCTCATTTGCCATTTGTACAAAGTTGTAACATAGCATGGTAATGGCATGTCTTTGTAGCAAAGGAGAGCAAAAGAAAATGACTTGGCCGACTCAGTATTGGGTATCATTGTTATATATATATATATATATATATATATATATATATATATATATATATATATATATATATATGTAAGCAAATATATGGATATAGATCCGACAGTATGAAGAAAAATATATACGGAAAAAACAAACAAAAATCCTTATATGCAATTATGCTGTTTTAATGTTAATATGTCAACCACGGAAATTTAAACAATGCTTTAGTTGTACACACAACTAAAGCAGATCATAATTTCGATTTTGATTCCATGAAGATTTTAAAATATTTTCATAATAAAAATCTTAGGCGGATTTATGAAGCAGGCATAATAATATCCATCTCACGCACGGTGAATGCTAGACCTGGCTTCTTTAGTATTTCCCCTTTTCTAGCGAGATTAATGCTTGACAAGCGTACATATAAATTTTAGATCAAAATAGAATTCTTTTCATTTTTCATTTTTCATTCAAAATACTCAAATTTTAGGAATACATTTTCACAGCATTGCCCACATGACGACAACGTGACCATGTTTAAACGGAGCGCTGATCTTAAAACTTTCAGTTATCTGTTTGCATAAGTCTTGTTCTTATGTCCATAGTCTTTGTCATGTTGAATTGATAATGTTAATTATATTTTATGAATATGTCCTGAAGATGGTTTGTTAGGCCGAAACATCCGACATTGACATATTAACATTAAAACAGCATAATTGCATATAAGGATTTTTGTTTGTTTTTTCCGTATATATTTTTCTTCATATATATGTATATATATATATATATATATATATATATATATATATTTATATTTATTTATAAAATTGAACATTGAAGTCAACATTCAGAGATGACAGATTATTTCCTGCTAAACACAATCATCAAGCCACATGTGTTGTTTTTTTTCAAGATTATTTATATATACGAATCAGTGGTGCATTGTGCATAGTTTATTCTAATGATTATTTTGTCAGAAGTCGTTTGTTAATTTGTTTATTTATTTATTTATTCTGATTAATTTATTTTACTTGTTATTTGTTTATTTTTATTTTGTATATTTTGATTCATTCTTTTAGTTTATCAATTTTTTAGTAATGTAGTAAAAATTTTGAGATGAGTTCTGATTGTTTATTTAGTAGTTTGTTTTGGTGTTGGAAGGTAATTATAGCTATTTTTCATCCAATTTTTGGATTGATTGTTCTAGATTACTCTAACGCTTAATTTGGTGGGAGTGGTTTGTTAATATGTTTATTATTTACTTTATTTATTTGGATTGATTATTTTTACTTGTTTTTGCTTATTTATCTAACAGTTATGGTGGAAGTGGTTTGTTAATTTGTTTATTATTTGCTTGGATTAATTTATTTTATTTGTTTTTTCTTATTTATTTTTATTTTATTTATTTTTATTTATTCTTTTCAGTTTTCAATTTTTAAGTAATGTACTAAAAATTTGTTTTTGTGTCTGCATTTTCAGATGAGTTCTGATCATTTATTTAGTAGTTTTTTTGGTCTGGGAAGGTAATAATAACTATTTTTTCCTCCAAGCAAAGTTTGCAGATTTTGTATTGATTGTTGTAGGCTGATGTTCTTTTCCTTATCTTCTATGATATTTTTGGTGTGATTTGCATTTTGTTTTTAATTTCCCAGATGTACTTAGAAAGCATTGTACTGTTTATGTATTATATATATAATTTCTTTTTGTATGAATAACTACAAGATAAAGTCTACCCTGATCAATTCGATTTTCGCTTCCCCGTCTGGTATATACGAGTTTGTCATTACTTGAAAATTTAATGCAGCAAGGGCAGACTATCATTGTTATTTCGTCCGTTGCTTGATTTATTGAAATTGTCATCTTTGATAATGGCTTATGTAAGCCGAAAGTTTAGATTGGATTTAAACATGTATCAATATGGTGCTTTCCTTTCATCTTTCAACGAGAATGTGATTAATCTTCTCAGACAATATGAAATGAACTTACTTAAAATAAATAGACAAAATTTGTCTATATTATTTAATGAAACATGCTTTAACATATATATATATATATATATATATATATATATATATATATATATATATATATATATATGTTGTTTAGAACTTTTGAAAATTTTATTTGTTGTACAAAATTTAATAATGGCTTATAACACAGGCATATTTAAAATATGTAATTAAAAACAAAAGGAAAAAAATACTAATCTTTAATATGAAAGAAAAAACAAATAAAAAGTCACTCCTCAGAACTCAATTGAGTGATAAAATAGTAAATGTGAATACTAACTAAAAAGAGCAAAGAAAGACTAATACATCAGTGTTATTAATATAATTAGTACAAAATATCTAAGAGCAGATCTGTTTACATTACTAATAATATATATATATACTTAAGATGGAAGCTATACTAATATATCATCACAGGAAATACTATATATCTCTCTTTCTCTCTATCTCTATTCTCTTTTCCTTTCCCTCTCTCTTTATGTGCATGTATACATACAATATGTTTTGGCGGATATAAGTAGTTTCCTGTATATTCAATATACAGGAAACAACTATGTTGTAAAAATAGAATATAATGAAAAAATAAGATATTTGTCATCAGGCAAATCTAAATTTTGACTTTTCAATTCACAAGCCCTAAAATGATCTATTCATAGTAATTTGTTGGTGTGACCAAACAACACTGCTTTCTATGGAAGAATTATTAAAGACCAAAAATATCAATATATAAGAATATTTAAAATACTGAGATATTTACCGAGAGCCAAGCCTCTTCTCAAATATTAGGCAGCATAGGCAATAGATGACAAGGGAAGCAGATGTGAATTCTTGATCAGTAGTTCAATGTCCTGGTTTTTAATGATAATACGATTTCTTTCTATCTATCTATCTATCTATCTATCTATCTATCTATCTCCTTCTGTTCATATCTATCTATCTATCTATCTATCTATCTATCTATCTATCTATCTGAGTCTCTTCTAATCTATATACCTATCTCTCAATCTATCTATCTATCTGTTGTGCTGGTGAGATGAAAAGTACTATGAAGAGGAAAAAAATAAAACAGTTATGTCCTGACCCCAAAAAGAAGAGGTATTGAACAAAATTTCAGAGGATTATTGGTTAAACAGTAAGCTGTTTATTTATAGGGATTTTTAAACATGTAAAGCAATTTATTTATCATAACATTATATTGAAAACTAGCACAATACCTGTCAAAAATAACAGAATTATTTATGTTAATAATATAATTAATACATTATATCTTAATAGTAAATCTGATTGGTTTTATAATGTCAAATTGGCAGCTAATCTAAAAAAATGACCCACAATCTGTTGTTAAACGGGGCCAAGAGTGGCTTGTTACTTTTAAGGCATCCAAAACAAATACAAAACCGTTCTCTTTTAATCACCTTTCATCAACCTGGCAGATGCTAACCTCCAGGAGAGTGATTCATTATGCTTTCTCAGACTAACATTTTCCTCTGACATCAAGTGGAAAGACTATATTGAATCAATTTCTAAGTCTGCAGCTAAGAGAGTTGGTTCACTGTGTTATACTAGACAATTTTTTCCATCAGAATCTATCTTACATATTTATAAGTCTACCATTTACTGTTTTGAATATTGCTGCCACATCTGGTCTGGTGCTCCTGCTAAATATTTAGAGATTCTTGATAAAATCCAAAGAAGAATCTGTAATGTTTTTGATATAATGACATCAACCTTTGATCAACCTGGCATGTCACCTTCAGCCGCTTTACACCATTGTAATATAGCCTACCTGTGGCTTTTCTATAGATGCTTTCAGGATAATTTTACCGGTGATCTTTCCTCTATGATAGCTGAACTTTATGAATTTAATACTAGATTGATGGTAAAGTCTCATCATTTTATAATTGAAATAACCAGATGTAACTGTAAGTTCTATGCTAACAGTTTCTTCTCTTGCACTTATTTGTGGAACTCTCTTCTGGCTTCTTGTTTCCTTGTCAACTTTGGTCTTCATAAGGCTTCTGGAAGATTTGTGTCTTTGAGTATTACATACTGTACCTATGAATACTAATAGGTATGTCCCAATCCTCCTAAATATGTTGGACACTATTGTAAGTGGGGGTAATATGCAGTGGTTTACCTATTTCACACCGCTGGCGAGTATTGTATTTTGTTGATGTTATAAAGATTACCATTTGATTTCCACCCTCCATTTTGGTTATTCCTTATTCAGTAACCTTTTTGTAGGTTACAACATTGAGTAACCATCTTTAGATTAGTTGCCAAACAAGACTAGAGAACTTAGGATGTCCTACTATTTAACCCATAGCTAGGAGGGAGAAGAGATGGATTCATATGTATTTGTATAAAAGTGAATGTAACAAACTTGGTAAGAATTCAAACTTAGGTTGCCAATTTCTCTTCCTGACCTTTACACTACCCATGATTCTACCATTTCTACTAGCAATTTTAAATTTTTTTATGTCATTTCACTTTGAATTTCTGGTCCATTCTAAATTTCTTTTAATTCTATACTTCTAACGTCTCTGCCTAAACTCTGAAATTTATACTACTAGAAATTTTTTCAACTTGCGGACATGTGTTGAAATCCTCACAGTATTTAGTATTATTGAAGTTATCGCTAATGTTTTTTGTTGAAATTTACAAAATCCTCTCCATTTTGTTCAATTTCACAAATCAATCAATAAAATTTGAATAAAGCTGATTTTTTTTCAAAATTCTTTGACAAAATCCCTACTTTGTGATTTAATAATTTATTTAAATCTAATTTAATTTTATAAGACTTCATGGTATTCATAAGACTTCAATATTTTTTCAAATAGCAAAGAATAAATTCTTAAGATTTCTTACTCTTGAGGTTGCAACATAAAACTGGTAATGCATAAATATTTCTTTCTGGAGTCAAATTTCAACTTCTTAAAGCATTTGGCCTTGTGATTTGTTTATAGTTCTCACACTTCTTGGATATATAAAAACTGAAAGAAAAGATATGCAAAAAACAATAATGCATTTTTATTAAATAAGTATTTGTTATTTTAATTATTAAATTGTTTTCAAAATAGTGGGAGTATTTTGTATGTTAAATAATGACATTTTTAATTTTTCCAAAAAATTAATGAAATTTTATTGTACTAAGCTATGCTATTTAGTAAAACCAACTGTACTTTGTACCCTCTTACCTGTTGGTGATACTCATTGTCATATTAATGGAAAAATTAATAAAGCAGGTGTTGACTGAAAATTAAAAAGTCAGATGTTTTTCTAGTGTCAGATTGTTGAGTCTAATTACAACACCCCTTCAAAGAAATTCTAATCAGGGTTATAAATTTTGTCTATTATCTATAAAGCTTGTCAAAATAAAAATCCATTTAGTCTAAGTATTTTAAACAAATACACAAAATCTTCAGTAGAGTGAAAAATGTCTCATTCGGTTGCATAACTGTTATTTTTATGTCTACTTTATCAACTGTGGTATTTGTATAGCACAAATCATACGATCACTGTGTTTGTACAAGTTGTTGTCTCCCAGGAGACTTGAATGTGTTTATAATCTGATTTTTCTCTTAGTTGGAGGGGGATGGTAAATATATTAACTTTTAAGTCAATATGCTAACCAATAACCATATAACTGAAATGATCAAAGTGGTAAAAAAGCATGTATAAAAACCTTGATATTTTTATAACACACATGTATACAAGTAGAAATACCTCCTACATTTTAAACTGACACCACTATGGTGCTAGTGAACATAGACAAGTAGCAATTGTGTCTTCATCTAGTCAATGTCTTACCACTGTCTTTTTGATACCAGCAGTTACTATCATGAATTGGACTGGTGCACACCATGCATTTGCTGTTGAAACGTTGTTTTTAAGACTGGTGAATATGTAATTATAACACAGAGACCTTTTCTAGTTTCAAATTACAGTGCCTCCAACAACACTTACTCTTATACAAAACCAACCCATACCCAAGTGGTTTTGAATCAGAGTTATTCTTCTCTCATGGTAAGGAAGGCTAGAGAGTCCAGTATGTATTTCCAGTTAACCCAGAGCTGAGGAGAGAACAGATGGATTCATACTTTTCTCCAGCTATGGGTTAAATATTAAGGTAAAAACTGGGATCTCTAGCCTTGGTTGGCAACCAATCCGAGAAGGATAACTCTGGATTCAAAACCACTCAGGAATGGGACAAGTAACTCGACCCAGTGTAAAACCTACATACTACAGAAAGCACAGCAGTAAACTGAAAACCAGTTGGTCATGGGGCTGGCATTTCCACCTTGTCAAAAAAAAAAAAAAAGAAAAGAAGCTTATTTGCTACAGAAACCATAATAGCAACACTAGTGTGGTGAAGATATAATCTTAAACTCCACCTGAAGTGAGAAGGACTCATCTTTCTCTTATGTCCTATATTCTCAAATATATTCTTAAAAATATGAAATGCTTTTTACTCTCAATGTTATAGTTTCCAAATTTCTGAAACATTTGATGTTACTACTTTTATCAGATGGTGAAAATATTTCTGTGATTTTCAATGTTTTCTTCATATCACCTTCAAGAAGATAAACCTTTTAAATAGCAACAACTCATTAGTCTTCCCAGTAACACAAAACCTATTTATATCATTTGCTAAAGGATAACCTTCAGGGGGCAGTATACCTATAATAGGAATACATAAAAAAACTGAATGTGAGAGTTTGAAACAAGCCTGTAGAATAAGTAGAACATCTGAAAAAATTAGTTGCCACACAGCCTGGAAGTGTTTCAGGAACTTTTCAATTAGAAATGAGTCACTGAAAGAAAAAGATGATTAGAAAGTATTGATAATGACTGGAGAATATGTTTTCAATTTAATTTATATTCTTGTATTAAGATTTAACACAAATAATAAAACTACTCCTTTTCTGCTTCAAAAATAAATAAACATGAGAGAAATGAGTGAATAAAACAAACAGGAAAAAGTATTTTGTTTACTTATTATTACAGGACAATTAACTAATAAACTAAATTGGTAAGTGGATCATGGGTCATAACAAAGTAGGTCTGGTGCAGATCATGTGAAATTGTTTCTTTATGTATAGCAAAATGTTTTTTGAAATTTATGCAACACATTTTTGCATTTATTTTGATTGTAAATATCACTTAGTAATTATATTAATTATATTACAATTAACTAACTAGATTATAATTAATTAATTAGTGAGAGAGTAGGTAAAACCAAGAAAAAAGGCACTATAATTAGTGTGAATGGTCTATTGCTGATTCATGAATTCTGTTCTTGCTTAGTGTTTCATACAAAATTCAACATTAAATAACATGACAATAGTTGACATGTAAAATCAAACAACATCACTAAATGGTGATTTTCTAAGTATAGCTTAGTTGTGTCACAAGGCCTCAGTGAGAATCGAACTCACTACTGAAGTTTTACTGGTCTAGCAAAACAAGCTTGTTAACTATTAAACTACATTGAAGTGCTCCATACAGCATAACTAAATTCCATATTGGTCTATTTTTAATTTTTTTCTAGAGTTAAATATTTTAATTTTTTTCTTTAAAATTTAATAAATTATTCTTAATCAAAAATTATTTCTTTTTTATTATCATTCTCCTCCTTCATTTTATGTCAATGCCTCCAAAAGCATATATATATATATATATATATTAAGAATTGAACCCAGACTGTTACAATATGACACAAATATCATACCATTGGGACAGCAGGCCACAGTGGCAAAGAGGAAACTAACTTACTAGACACAATATAGTGCAGTTCATTCTATTTCCAGTGGTGATCCAAGCACCCATAACCCACAGAACTGGCTCCAAAATCAAAGAATTTCTTCACAGAGCTGCTCAATTAAGAGCATTAGAAGCTGGATCTAGTAGAGGTTAATATAAGTGATTTGTGATTTATGAATTTGTATAATGTCCATAATAATCCACCATGTCTAGGCCTAGAATCTTCAACACACACATACAGAAAACACTGGTCGGCCATTTTGTCCTTTTTGGG